ATGTCTGGAGTTTGTAACAAAGCTCAGTAACGGCCTTTGGTTGAACTTTTTGCTATTAGCACAATAAACAAAACTCTTAAACAATAAAGGATTGATTTCTGTAAGAAATGAAAGAACAGACCCAACCGAATTGATGTGAAGGCAGTGCTGTCCCAGATATACGTAGAATGCTATAGATGCCGAATCCCTGTGGCTTCTCAGAACATGGACGACCCACAAGGTGGTCCCGTGGGAAAAGGAGTTCTAGTGCCAAAAAACTGGGAGAGACTGCACCTACTCGTTCTCTAATTCCCAGCCTTCACTGGCTTATTAAAGACTCTGAGAAGTCCTACCTGAACAAGATCAATTTGGGTCTACCCAGAAGTATTTGGACATGCGACATTTTTTTCTCCTGTTAAAATTCTATTGGGACAATGTTCCATGGAATAAAGTTGAGAATACTGCTCTAAACTTATAAATTGCTACTTAACTGATGCTGAGCTTTTGGTTTCCTTGAGTGCCAGGCAATAATCTGGAAGTAAAGAATAATAAAGTAACTTGCATTCAGAGCAAGGCAAAGCGCTGTGCTAAGCATTTTGTGTGCATTCGATCACTGATTCCTCAAAGCTACCCGATGAGGCTGGTGCTGTAGTGATCCCATTTTATAGATAAGGAAACTGAGGCCCAGAGGGTAAACAATTTGTCTGAGGTTACATATCTTGTATGTAACCTCAGGAATGAATACGAAACCAGTAGTGATTGAGTGCCTACCTAACATTAGGCAGGATCTGAGCTGAGATCCTTGTTCAAAAGCAAACCCTCTGAAGTAAGACCATCTCTGTGTAACTGAAGAGGAATCAGCTTCTTCTGGGTTATGTAAGTCTGAGGCCAGAAGTGGTGGCAGGGGACAGTGTTGGGACCAGGTTGGGTTGTGGCTCCCTAAAGCCCTCCCAAGGACCGTTCCCTCAGGCAGCTTGTGTCCATCTCTGTGTAACTGAAGAGGAATCAGCTTCTTCTGGGTTATGTAAGTCTGAGGCCAGAAGTGGTGGCAGGGGACAGTGTTGGGACCAGGTTGGGTTGTGGCTCCCTAAAGCCCTCCCAAGGACCGTTCCCTCAGGCAGCTTGTGTGACAGCAGGTCCATCAACCGGTGTCTCACCGTCTCAATTCTAATCCGAGTTCTTCCCCTTACCAGTTGAATGTGGCCTTGACCCAGATAGATGCCTCTCTGATCCTCACCTTCCCCGTTAGATAAGTGGAGATCGCGATGCCTATGTCTTAGGGGTTTAAGGATTCACTAAGGCTTGTTCAAAGTTGGGGCTCAACGAAGTCAATCCATAAAAGGAAGCTGTGTGCGTGGGGCTGCAGCCCCTAACACCCCAATAGCAGAAACCCAGCAGAGCCAGAAGCTACCGCTCTGGTTTTACCTGGCCTTGGCCTGGCTGCCCACCAGGGATTTAGCTCCACCTGAAATCAGCCTCTCTGAGATCCTGTGGCAAAAGTGCCCAACTGTCAGACCCAGGGCTCTTGGAGTCTTGTTCCCTTGGTAACAAGTCTCACCATGGAGACCACAGCCCCATCCTTGCCCTCCCTGCAAGCTCTCTCCACACAGACCTTCCCTGTTCAACACCTAGTCCTGGGAGCAGAGTAGGAACTGAGGAAAGCTAGGAGGCCCTTCCCCGGGGCAGGCATTTGACTACAGCCAGCAAGAGAGGCAAAGGGAACTCCCAGTTTTAGGTCCACATTATGCCTGGTGAGGTTCGGAAGGGTCTACATATGTGATTTCATCCAGGTTGAAAGCCGGGCACGCGCCCTCTTAGATATTGGAACGAGGCTCGGAGAAGAGGTGGATGAACCCAAGTCTCACAGCTGGTCAGTGTTGGAGCTGAGACGAATCTCGGATTTCTGACTTGGGAATCCCTATTTTCTCTGTAACTCTCCACCTACACTGTTCAGACAGCCTCCAGCCTCAGTCTGGGGAGGACTGGGGAGTTGGGTGGATCCCCTCCGCGCCAGGCTTCGGCTGGCAGCCCGGCAGCAGCGGGCGGCCCGTGAGGTTTGGGCCGGGCCCGAGAGCCGCAGCCCGGCAGAGGAACTGCACTATTTTAAGCCAGGGCCAGCGGGCCCCATGTGGGCACGGGGAGGGTGGCCTCGGGCCAGCTTCCCGGAAGTCGTCATGGCCTCCCTCCTCTCCCCTGAGCAGCTTTCGGAGGCAGTCACTTCCCAACAAACAGGAAGGAGGCCCTCAGGCCTGGAGACCTGCAGCCCCAGCTGCCTCCTCCTCCCCTACCCCCAGTCTTCTCTACTACACTGGGGAGCCCACCAGCTCCACGCCATGATCAGTGTTCATTATCTGGACGGACTCCCGGCAGGTCCGAGGTGGGGGGTCTGGACTTTTGTGGCTTAGGTTGCCTCAGTTTACCCATTATAAGTCTAAGGTGTCCCTTGCCCAGGCCCCTAGCCCCTTGCCCACAGCCTGATTTCTCACATACATTCCCAATGAGGCAAGTCTCTGGGAGCCAGAGAGAAGAGCAGAGATATCCCCAGACTTGGTCCACTCAAGGAGCCGAGAGAGAGAGAGAGAGAGAGAGAGAGAGAGAGAGAGAGAGAGAGAGAGAGAGAAGCTGGGACCGTCCCGGAGGAAGACTGGGGCAAAAACTGGTAGACACGGATTCATTGTGGCAGAGACAAAAAAGTTAGAAGCAGAGAGAGAAGCGAAGACGCGGCGGGGCAAGAGGGCGGCGGAGGGGCCCTGAGTGGTTGCTCCTGACCACCCCCAGTACAGGCCGGTCTCAGGCTGTGGGGGGCCCACCGGCTGCGTGGCTGAAGAGGAATGTGGGGAGCAAGGCTGGGTCACCCCTTGAGGGCCGCGCGTGTGCACTGTGAGATAAACCACCCCAGGAAGGGGCCCCAGCTGCGGCTCCATGCTCCAGGAGCCTGGTGGAGGGGCCCAGGCCCAAGGCTGGACGGAGCCCAGCCCCACCAGACACCGGTTCCTGCATCTGCTCCCGAGAGTCTCCACCAGCCTCACATTCTAGAAGGTCCCGGGTACCTCGGCCCAGCCCTTGAGGGCATGCAGATTCTGCGAGTGTCCCATTCATAGAAGAGCAAGGGGGGTCCTGGAGACCCTGCCAGCCTCAGGCCCTCCCTGCTGCTGCTCTGGCTGCAGTCCTGGCCAGGTGAGGGGCTGGGCTCACCAGGCTGAGCACCGAGCAGGGCTCGGGTGGGGGAGTGTTGTGGGGCAGGAGCTGTGTGCAGGGCTGAGCTGTCCCATGTAGCTCTGTGCATTCCCACGCAGCGTGGGTCTGTGTGCGCTTCCTCGCATGTGGGTGTGCAAAGATGTATGTGTGCACATGTTGCCGGGAGCCCCCCTCTGCCTCCACAAGTCCCTGCTCTCAGTCTAGAGAAGTCCCCAGAGGTACCCCGGTCTCTCTCACCCCCACCAGGTGGTCCAGCCCAGAGAGCCATGAGGCAGAGGGGGAAGAGCGAGCAGGTCTAGTGCCGTCCCCCCGCACCCCTCCCCACGCTGCAGCTGAGGCTCCCGCTGGCCACGGCCTTGACCCGGCACTATGGACTTCTCTGACATTGGCATCGGATCTGAACATCTGGCAGCAGGCTGATAAGGGGTGCAGCGGAAACAGCCTCTGCTGCTGCCAGCAGCCCCGCCCCCCCTGCCCTGCGAGGGGGTCTCCACATCAACACTCCCTCAGCCTCCAGCTCGGCCTGCCCCTCTCTCCTCATTCTCTGCCTCGGTGTCTCTCTGTCTCTGCCTCTCCCCCCCATCTCTCCTCCCTAACTGAATTTCCCTCTCCTGTCTTCTCCCTGGCTCTCCTCTCCCTTCTCTCTCCCCCCACTCCTCCTTTCTCTCTAACCATCTCTGGGTCTGTTACGCCGTATTTCTCCAGGGCTTCTTTTCCAGTCTGCCTTTCAATCTCCATTTCAGTTTCTGGGTCTCGGACTTGTTTGTTCCTTGTTCCACCTCCAGGAAACAGGCCTGGCACTTTGGGAAAGTCCCCACTTAGAGGAGAGACCCTGGGCTTTGTTTGCTTGGGGAGGGAGGGGGTCGGGACTGCACTTCTCCTTCCCCTGGGGGTGGGTCTCAGCCTGGGACCGCCTGGGCTGGAGCTCCAAGGCAGGGACAGATAGGCCACCCAGGGGCTCTGGCTGAGTGGAGATGACTGAGTCAGCGAGCCCAAATCTGGACTCCCAGGTCTGGGTTCAGATCCCGGTCCCATCACAACCTTGCTTTGTGACTTTGGGAAGAGCCTCCGTTTCCTCATCTCTCAAATGCTGCTCCCTACCTCCCAGGACGGAGGAGAGGGTTGGCGACAGCCACAGATGCGGGCACTGGTTGGCAGGGGACCCGGGGCACAGGAGGCACGGCCGGCTGCGTTACTGCCTTGCCGTTGGTCCCCAGCATGCCTCATCCTGAAGGGTGAGGGCCGGGAGGGGTGGCACAGAGGAAGGGGGTGAAGGTAAACATATCCGGGGTGAGGAGCGTCCAGCCTGAGGGGTGGCAAGTGATAGCTGACAGCCTACAGGGAAGGCGACAGGACAGGAGGAGGCCGGCAGGGGTCCACACCTCGGGCAGCACGGCCTCCGGTGCAGAGGCCAGCGGTCACCCCAGCGCTCACTGCCTGCGGCTGTCGCTGCGGGGACAGATCAGCCCTGAGCCTTTCCTTGAGGGTTCCCCAGACTGGGGTGAGTCACTCTTCACAGAAGGACAAATGGTGTTGGGGATGATGTCGCAATCTCAGCCCCACAGAGAAAGGGGCCCTGAGGATGGACTGCCAGTCCTTCGGCTTGTTTGCGTTTGTAACATTTACTGAGCACAAACAACATGCTGGGCAGCCGCTGTGCATGTGACATGTATTGTCCCATTTTTGTCCCCATTTCACGGAGAGGACGAGACCCAGAGAGGAGAAGTGACGGTACCAGGTCACCCGGCTAGGAAATGGCAGAACTGGGATTTAATCTGGAGTGTCCGCCACTAGTCCCGTACCAGTTCTTAGGGTTCAAGGCCTCACCAGGAGACTGGCAAAGGCAGGCTGGTTCTTTCCACAGCACCGGGGTGTCGGACGACCCTGTCTGGACTGTTTAAGAAGGCAGGGGTCAGGGTGCCCATTCCACACGGTCTTCCGTCGGAAGAGGCGCAAAGGGCCTTCACTGCTTCTTGTCCCGTGTACAGGACATGTCGGTCATATAGGGTGTTTGCTGGAATACCTTTAATTAATTAACCAGTAAGTTAATTAGTTAATCAATTAATCAACTAATTAATCAATTAATTAAAATCCTCACTCAAGGATATGTTTATTGATTTTTTTTTAGAAAGAGGAAGGGAGAGAGAAATAAAAACAGACGTGTGAGAGAAACATCAATCGTCTGCCGTACACACCCCAACCAGGGACCAAACCTGAAACCTAGGTATGTGCCCTGACCGGGAATCAAACCCGAAAACTTTTGATGTACAGGATGACGCTGCAACCAACTGAGCCACCTAGCCAGGGCTAGATATTTCTTTTTTAAATTCCAAGGATGAGTAGTATTAATCCAGAAACAAAATCATCGCATTAAAATGGGGAGACCAGCCGTGGCCGGTTTGACTCAGCGGTTAAAGAGTTGGCCCAGAGAGTCCCAGGTTTGGTTCCCACTAAGGGCACGTACCTCAGTTGCGGTTTGTTCCGGGCCCCGGCTGGGGTCCTGTGGGTGGCAGCCAGTTGATGTGTCTCTCTCACATCGATGTTTCTCTCTCTCTTCCTCCCTTTCTCCCTCCTGCTCTATCTGAAGATAAATGCAAAAATGTCCTCGGGTGAGGATAACAAAATAAAATAAAATGGGGAGACCAGTTAGGTTAAGTTATATGCAAGAGAGAATAAAAAAATAAAATAAAATAAAATAAAATGAGGAGACCAGTTAGGTTGAGTTATATGCAAGAGAAGTGTATCTTATAAGAACTTCTGGAGGTCATGCACGTTGGGAAATTAGTCGCATGTTATGTCATAGGTAGAATTAGAATATGCTAATCGGTAGACAGTAAAATTATTGTGTTGTATTTTCACAATAAAAAACATCTTTTAAGTGGTACAATGAGAAATACACACTCGGTTTTAAATATAATTGTCTTCAATTACTCAGAAATATCGGCTAGTCCCAAACCAGATAAGTGAGGTGCTCTGTGTGACTTGCCTATTTCCTCAAATGAAGGGTTCTCAGCAGTGATTGCCCCGTGGCCCCACCTCCTCCAGCCCTGTGCTCCTCCCAACCCCCAGGATGAATGGCTGGGAAGTAAATCCCCCAAGGACAGATTTCTTCTCTTTCTTCCCTTTCCTGCAGGGCCTGGGCCAGTGCCTGGCACCTGACGCGCACTCAGTGCGGTGTGGAGGCGCACACAGAGGCGTGTCTGCATGGGAGGGGCAGGCAGAGCCATCTGGGCCCTATGGGACCAGGACCGTTCAGGACCTGTCTGAGCCTGGAGACAGGACAGATCCCCAGCTGTGTGGAGAGGCCTGACCTTCTAGCCAAAACCCCCTTCCCTTGGCCCTGCCCTATCCTGGTCTGGCTATCCACTTGGCCCAACCTGGGGCCATGGTAGCCAACCCCTTGACCCAGCCTCAACTTCCCCAGCGATCGACAGGGAGCACTAGCAGCCTGTGGTGGGTGGTGACACTCAGAAAGCCCCCGTGGAATGCACATAGGAGGTGGTAGTCAGCTCACCTACTTGCCTTTCGTCCACGCCTCCCTTCTTCACCTCTGGAAGAGAAAAAGACCAGGCCAAAGGCGCAGGGCCACCTGGTCAAGTTATACATGCCCCTGCCTCCGCGCCAGCCCTACCTGACTCCACTCCCATGTCTGGGCCAGACTGGACCCCGCTGGGCCAGGCCCCAGGGAGGTAGCCATTCAAGGGGAGAGAGGCTGGGCTGCAGGCCGGGTAGGGGAGCTGCCCATAAATCAGGCCCCACTCCCACCCAGTCGCTAACAAGCGGGGCTGCCTACCCGCCTACGTGGGGTCCCTGCCTCTGGGCCCCCACAGCGGCCTGGAACAGCCAGCTGGCCAAGGCCTCCAGAGTGCCTTGGCCTCCACCCCCACCCACGGCCCCCAGATAGATAGGGCTATATTTTTTTTCTTTTAGGAGAAGAAAAAAAAATAGACCTAAATGAAGAGAAACACCAACAAAGAAGGAGAGTGGCCTGCAGAGTCACGTGGGGGCAGAGACCAATTGGGCCTCTGGTGGCCCCCCCCAGGGCGGGGAGGAGGAGGACGGTTGGACAGGGCCAGCCTACTGTCCGCCCGCCGCCCGCCGCCCGCCGTGGCGTGAAGGAGTTCCCGTGCGTCCTCGGTCACCACTGCCCCACTTGGGCCGCCGGAACCTCCCCTCAGACCCCCGTGCCCACTGGCCACCCTCATCCGGTGTGAGAGCTCGCCTTCCGCTCCGTAAGTGACGGCCTGGGCCCAGGCCTCTACGGGTCAGCCTCCCTCCTCAGTGCCTCCCTGCGGCCTGGCCCAGCCACTGCCCTGCCGGGTGACTGGTGCCCACTGCTCTGGGCAGGGAAGTTGCCAGGGACCTCCCCAGCCCTGCCCTCCCACTGTGCTACCCCCTCTTTATCCCTGGGCTGCTGATGGGAGGAGCGAGGCCTATGGGGACATGCTCCATGGGGGTCTATCGTGTCCCGCTGTCGATCGGTGGCCAGCGTTCACAGGGCTGTGTTGGCCCAAGCCTAGGAGTCTGCGAATGTGTCTGTGGTCCCTGGGTCTCCCTGCCTGCGTGTCTGTGCTGTCTCTGTGGGAATCTCTGAGTCTCTGTGTGGATTCGTGTGTCTGTCTCCAGTGTCCATCTGTCAGTCCAGGGTCGGTGGCTGGGCAATGTTTGCTTCCCTGGGCAGGTTGGTGAGGGGCTGGGAGTCCCCACATGAGCTGGAACCTAGGGCTGAGGGGTGGGTGTGATGGGGCCTGGAGGGTCAGCCAAGGACTTCCCAGGAAGAGAGGGGTCCAGGTGAAGGGAGAAGGGAGGACTAGCTTAGAGCCCAGCCCAACCGGACCTGGCCCTCCTGCCCAGTCTGTGCTTGCACTGCCTAAGTCTTCCTCAGCAATACCCAGGAGACCCCAGTGGGCTCCACCCTAGAAAAGTCTGCTGGGGACTCCCCACCCCCCGCCTTCCCCCTCAGCCCCCTTTACTCCCCTGCAGAGGAGGTGCCCCTTCTGTTTTCCACTTTCTGAGGACCCTCCCCATGCAAAGTTGTTTAGAGGCAGTAGCGCCCCCCTCCAGCTCTGGCAAATGCTGTTCTTTCCCAGGGGCTGGGGTGGGGGGTCAGCAACTAACTGGGGCTGTGGCTCTCTCCTTCCTCCTCACCAAGACCCGTCCAAGGAATCTCATGGAAACTGCAGAGCCCCTTCTACAGGGCCAATCTTTTCCATTTCACATACGGAGAAACCGAGGCTCAGAAAAGCCAAGTGACCTGGCCGAGCTTGCACAGAAAGTGGGCTGCAGACCCGCCCTCACTCCAGAGGGGTGAGCCAGATGAGAAGTGGTCTGGGAGGGTCTCCTGGCCTCCATGGGCAGGACCAAGGCGCCAGCTCCAACAGCAGCCCCAGGCCTCCGGTTGGGAGCCCAGCCTGCTCTGCCAAGGGTCCCCAGCCCTCAGATCTGGTCCTTTCCCTCCGCTGCATCGCTGCTGTGCACAACTCTTCTATGCCCCCCTTGCGTTTTGGCCTTGCTGCTCTCCACACTCTCTCTGACCCTAGGGAGACAAGGGGTAGGGGTTGGGGGAGGACCGGCTTCCAGACAGCTTCTTCCTCAATTTTTTCATCTGAAGAAAGCAAGAGTGACTGGGGACATTGCCCGGCCCAGATAGATAGCTCAGCCCGGCCTGGCCCAGGGACGCCTTTGTCCCCAAGGGCCGCTGGACACTCCCTTCCCCCACCCCTAGCCTGGGTACTAGTGCAAAATGGGAGCAGTGAAGGTTTCTCCCGCCCCAGGGTCTGTTCTCCCAGCTCCCGCAGTCCCCGTGGCTTGGGGTCCTTCTCACACCTCGGAAAACTCACCGGGTGAGATGACTACAATTCCCATTTCCAGCCGAGCAAACCGAGGCCCACGAAGGAGAAAAGCTTTGCCCAGGTCTCCCAGCTGGATAGCACGGATCGCCTCCTAGTTCAGGCCTGTGCTTTGCCAGCACCACTTGGTTTATACGAAAGACCACCCTTGAGCAAGGCCAGGCATAGTCCCACTTCACAGATGAGGAAACTGAGGACCAGGGAAGGGGTCGGTTTGCCTAAATCTCCAGTGAGGAAATGTGGCAAGGCCGGGCGAGCACCTGGTTGTCACCTTGAACCCGTGCCGTGGCCACAGCCCCACACGTTCGCCCTTACCTACGTCCACGTTACAAAACGGCCAGCGCCCGCAGGATGACCCTCGCCACCACCAAGCTGGGCTGGCGAACAAGGGCTCGCCTCCTCCCAACGCCGGCGGGTGGCCCGGGGCTCCCAGACACCCAGCACCTGCCCGATGCCGGGGCGCCTGGGCTCCGGGGGAACGGGCTGGGAATGGGGGTCCCCAGAGGATGAGGGTAAAGGAGCGAGCCAGGCTAGGTGGCGGGGGAGGGCGCGGGCCCGGCCTAGCGCGGGGAGGGCCAGGCCTCCGCCCCCGGATACCGCACGCGCCGATATAGAAGGGCCGGCCCCGGGCCGGCGGCGGGTTCGCGCGGCGCGCACTGGCTGCAGTGGGGCCCGGGTCCCAGGTGCGCGGTGGAGCGGCCCTGGAGGCGGCGGGGGCGGGGAGGCGCGGGTGGGGGGAGCGCCCAAGCCCGGAGCGGCCGTCATCGCGGGCGGGCGGCGCTGCGACCGGGTGCGGCTCATCACCGGCAGCGGCGAGGCCGGGAGGTGCGGGCTCCGCGCGGGTGGGACGCGGGTGCTGCCGCTCGCAGGAGCCGCCAGGTGGGCGCCTCGCGGGCCGCGGCCGCCGTCGTACCCCTTCTCGCTTCCGGGCCCGGGCTCTGCGCGCTTCGCTCCTTGGGACTTCTGCGCTGCGCCCGAGGTCTCTCCCCCCTCGGGCTCGACCCCCGGAGCCCGCCAGGTTTTCGCCCGAGGTCCCTGCGCCTACCGCCAGGCCTGCGATCCCCGCCCTGCGCCCGCCGTCTCCGCGGGGCCCTCTCCGCGGCTCTCCGCCCGACGTCTCGGGCTCGGGGCCCCGCTCGCCTCCCGTCGCCGTCACTGCCGCGGGCTTTGTCTCTCCCCGCCTTCGGGCTCTCTGCCCTGGGCGCCGTCGTTTGCCGACCCTTTCGGCTCGAGCCCCCGTCCGGGTTCGACTCCTCGGGGCCCCGCCTGGGAGCTCGGGCTCCAGTCGGGCCGTTTTCCGTGCGGCTTCGCGTCCCGACCCCTGGCCGGGCGCCCCGGTCTCTGCAGGTTTCTCTCGGCTCTCGCTGTCGCGGTCTGTCTCGTCGGCCACCGTGTCTCTGGCTCTGCGTCTGTCTCCCCCAGGCTCCCCCCTGGCTTCGGGCTCTCGGCGTCTCTGATCTCTCTCGTTTTCGTTCTCTCGCTGTCTCTGTTTCTGTCTTTCCGTCTCCCTCGGCTCCCCGGGTTTGCTCCGATTCGGCATCACTGTTTCTCTGCCACTGGGTTTCGTGTCTGTCGCCCCGGGGTCCTCTCTCCGTTAAGCATCGCCAGGCGGTGTCTCTGGCTTTCATTTCTGTTCATCTCTGTCTCTCCTCGACTCTGGTTCTGGGTCCCTGGTCCCTGTCGAGCCCCAGAACACTCGGGCCCCACTTCCACCAGGTTCATCGGCGTCGCCCTCGCTGTTCAGCCCATCTCGTTTTCTTAGAATCGGGGTTTTGTTCTCAGACGAACGAATCCGGATTGAAGCACATCGAATCCGGGGGTCCCGGCTGGGGCCCGGCCGGGACAGCACTGGAGGAGCCCGCGGGAAGGACGGGGGGCGCGGGGGCGGGCGCGGGGACCTGGCAGGAGAGGCCGGCGCGGGCCGCACATGGAGCTCTAACGGGTGGCCTGCCTCAGGTGGCCTTGCCCAGGGCGCAGTCCCGGGGGCCACGGGCGGACACGCGGTGGGCGCCGAGGGGTGCGGCCGCGGTCCTGCAAGACCGGTGGGACCCCGGTCTGCCGCGCTGCCAGTCGCTGTCCCGCCCGAGCTGACCCCCTCCTCCCTCCGCAGGCGGACGTTGCGGGCATGGACTATTCGTACGACGAGGACCTGGACGAGCTGTGCCCCGTGTGTGGCGACAAGGTGTCGGGCTATCACTACGGGCTGCTCACATGCGAGAGCTGCAAGGTGAGCGGGCGGGCCGGCAGGGGACCGCGCGGCCGGCTGGCAAGCGCAGGAGGGTGGGGGAGCGGGGCAAAGCCCAGCTGGGAGGTAGAGGGGCCGGCCCCCTCCCGCGCTCACTCCCCTCTCCACCAGGGCTTCTTCAAGCGCACGGTGCAGAACAACAAGCACTACACGTGCACTGAGAGCCAGAGCTGCAAGATCGACAAGACGCAGCGCAAGCGCTGTCCCTTCTGCCGCTTCCAGAAGTGCCTGACCGTGGGGATGCGCCTGGAAGGTGCGCTCGGCGCGCCGCCGGCCTCAGGCCCCTGACCTCCCATAGAGTGGGTGGGGATGGGATGGGAGAAGGGGTGAGGGGAGGGAGCCACTGGCCGTAAAGTTTCTGGGGCCAGGCAGGACAATAGAGGCGATCTCTTGGGGAAGGGGTGAGAACTGGCCTCGCTGGTCCGGGGAGGGATGTATGCAGGACCAGCCAGAGTTGAGTTAAGAAGTATCTGAATGTGAACTTCAGAGAGATGAGCCTTTCTCCAGCCCCTGAAAGGGCTGAGCAGCACAGGGCAGAGCCCCGCAGAGCTCCTCCCTCTGCGGAAAGTTCTGCAACACCCGCACTGACACCCAGCACCAGCTGGGGTCGGGGCTTTCAATACCTTTTGCTGGAGTTCAAGTCCCACAGCCGCACGTACAGGCTGGGTGACATGAGGCAAGTTCCTTAACCTCTTAGTGCTGCAGATTTCCCATCTGCAAACCGGCTTCACAGCAGCGCCTGCCTCATGGAGTCATGTGAGAGAATTGTATGGGTAGCTCCTAGTAGGTGCCTGTGCCTGGCACGGGGTCAGTGCTCAACAGGTTAGCTATTGTTATTATCATTCTTTCTGTTATTATCTGCCATCACTGGTCAGCGCTCACTCAGCCAGCCTACCCATCTGTTTATCTGTCCATCCATCCCAGGAAGTCACTCAGCGAGTGAAATTCCTTCCCACCATGTTTTTAGCCAGACCCTGAGAGAGCTGGAGAGTGGGGAACCATTGCCCCCAGAGGACCCAGGCCCATCTTTGCCTCCCCACCCCCACCCCACCCCCAGCTCTCAGTCCAGAAGGGAGGTAAGACATTTCAGCAGTCCAGCAGGAAGGACTTAAGCTTTTTGCGACTGGACAGTCATCGTCGTCCACCCTGCTGGCCCCAGGCAGGCTGTGCACCGAGCGGGCAGCTGTTGGCTAAAGTTTTTAAACAACGAAGGAGGTACATAGTGGCTTAGCTGCAGACCACTGTCTTGCCACCTAGAGGAAGAACTCCTGATGGGAGGTCTCCTGTCCTGTCCCCAAAGCCCATGTCCCCAGATCCAGTCCTGGGTGGCCAGAAGAGCTCTTTGTTGTGAGCAGCAGAAACTCCTGGTGGGGCCTGAGGTTTCAGAGCAGGGCTGCCCACTCCCCGGTGGCAAGGTCAGCTGAGCAGGGCCCCCAGACTGACCCCTCTCCCTCCTGCTCTCTCTCCTCTCAGAGCCCAGGGTGGGGTCCCTGTCTAAGCAGGACCTGGGGCCACACTACAGCTTCAGAGGTGCAACATTTGGGTCTGGCTAGTGACATATTCGTGGACAGGCAGAGAGATATCTTTTTTTTTTTTTTTATCCTCACCTGAGGACATTTTTTCCATTTTTTGTTCAGATAGAGTGGGCAGGAGAGAGAGGAAGAGAGAGAGAGAAACATCGATGTGAAAGGGACACATCGAGTGGCTGCCACCCACACAACCCAACCAGGGCCGGGGACAAACTGCAACCAAGGTAAGTGCCCTTACGGGGAACCGAACCCAGGTCTCTCTGGACCACAGGCTGCCACTCTAACCACTGAGCCAAACCGGCCAGGGCAGAGAGATATCTTGTCAGAAAAGGAGGTCCCTTCCCCCCACGCAGAGCCTGAGCTTCAAATTTAAAAGCAGCGGGGCAAATCTGAGTCATTTTGCAACACAGGTTCGTCAGAGTCAACTAGTCAGTCAGTAGGCGTCTGGATACTGGGACCCAGCTATGAACAAAACTGTCCAGTCCTACTTCCTGTCACTATATCCCTGCCCGGCCCTGTGCTGGACACCTGAACCCATTGCTGAGCCCCCAGGAGCTCTCTGCCTGAGTGTGATACCACTCAACAAGATGAGAGTGGGCAAGAGGCAGGACATCTGGGGCTAGGACAGTGGATTCTGCCTGGGCAAATCCTGGAATGCTTCATGGAGGTGGTGACCTGAGAGCTGGGTGTTCATCAGGCAGAAGAGAAGGGAAGTTTGAGGCAAAAGGAATATAAAAGGGAAGGTGGAAGAAGAGGTGCCAAGCTGAGGAACAGGGAGATGAATAAGATGGAGAAGAAAGAACACAGGGTCTCATAGGGGACAACCTAGGAAGGTGAACAGGGCCTTGAGTGCCACATTAAGGTGACTGACTTCACCTGCAGGCAGAGGGAGCCCTGGGCTGGGGAGTGACACAGGCAGATCTGTTGGGGAAATATCTGAGTGAGGTGGAAAAAAGGGGGTTGAATGGGGTGAGCCTGACCCGCACCTCTGCCCACAGCTGTGCGTGCTGACCGCATGCGGGGTGGCCGGAACAAATTTGGGCCCATGTACAAGCGGGACCGGGCCCTGAAGCAGCAGAAGAAGGCACAGATTCGAGCCAATGGCTTCAAGATGGAGACAGGCCCCCCCGTGGGGGTGCCCCCACCGCCCCCTCCCCCACCGGACTACATGCTACCCCCTGGCCTGCATGCGCCAGAGCCCAAAGGCCTGGCCTCTGGTCCACCTGCTGGGCCACTGGGCGACTTTGGGGCCCCAGCACTGCCAATGGCTGTGCCTGGTGCCCACGGGCCCCTGGCCGGCTACCTCTATCCCACCTTCCCTGGCCGTGCCATCAAGTCTGAGTACCCAGAGCCCTACGCCAGCCCACCGCAGCCCGGGCCGCCCTATGGCTACCCAGAGCCCTTCTCTGGAGGGCCTGGAGTGCCCGAGCTCATCCTGCAGCTGCTGCAGCTGGAGCCGGACGAGGACCAGGTGCGGGCACGCATCCTGGGCTGCCTGCAGGAACCGACCAAAGGCCGCTCCGAGCAGCCCGCGCCCTTCAGCCTGCTGTGCAGGATGGCTGACCAGACCTTCATCTCCATCGTGGACTGGGCGCGCAGGTGCATGGTCTTCAAGGAGCTGGAGGTGAGTCCCTGCTCCCACCTGTCACGCGGCTGGCTCTGGGGTGTCCTCCTGGCTTCCAGGCCTCGATCTCCATCGCTCCTGGGACAGGGCCGTCCTCACTGGCAACAGGGAGACACCGAGGAGTATTTCTGGTCTGCCGTAGGCTTACCTGCTCCCCACTCATCCCCTCACTCTCTCTCCCCTGTTTCTTGAGTCTCTGTCTTTCACAGCGTCTCTCCCTTCATCTCTGCCTCTCTCTCCTTCTGCCTGGTGCGCTGTCTCTCTGCTTCTCTGTTTCTCCAGCCCTTTTTGCCTCTGTTTCTCTCCTAGTCTGGGTCTCTATAGGCCCTTATCTTCTTCCTCTGAGACCCTAGACTCCCGAGGCTGAGCTGAGTCTTTGGAGACTGCCTCTGGCTGCCCCAGCCCAGTGTCAGGAAGAGGGTCTGGAGGAGCTGCCAATCCCTGCCAGCCTCAGATGTCATGGATGGGAGTCTTGGTATTTGAGTTTGGAATGCGTATGGGCCCTCTGCTTCCCAGCCAGATGAAGGATCTTATTGTCCCTGCCTCTCTCGTGCCTGACGGCTGGTCCCATGTGTAAGTGTGTCTGTGTGTGGGGGGAGCGAGGTGACTTCCTTTACTGCAAGGCCTTCCAGTAGAAGGTACCCTGGGCTGAGGTACCTGCTGCTAAAGCAGCAGAAAAGCAGCAGGAGAAACTGAAGCCAGACAAGGAAGAACTTCCCAGTCATCCTGCCTGGTGGTTTGAAGGGCCCAAGCCTGGCGGCAGCCCCTCTGACACCCTGGCTCCCTATGACCAGGGTGTGCGGCTAACCTCAGAGGCAGGCCACATCCAGCCAAGGCCCATCCTCCCTGGCCTGGGCACAGGCCCTCTTCAGTCCAGGCCTATCGGTGTTAGCCTTTTCCAGGCCGGCCCCCCAGCTGTCCTGGGCTGGGTGTGAACAGTGGACCCTTTGCCCTCCCTGCCGGGGCCGCTGCAGCCTTGAGCAGCATTGTCGGTGCTGACGCCACTCAGGCCTGGGCTTCCTCCGGGGCAGGTGGCCGGATGGGCTGGGCACAGGGGGGAATGAGGTGGGGATGGCACTGAGCCCTTGAGGCATCATGGGGCTGGGGACCAGGGTTGCTCTGGAAGTCAAGAATTGGTGGGG